TTCATTATCCTCCATTTCTGATGGGGTTCCTCATCTTCCATCATCCCTCAGGCGATGTCTGGTCACCCTGGCCTGTTTTCAGTTAGGTAGGTTTAGCCGGAACTTCCCTCACCCCTGTGGTCTTCTCTTAGTAATTTTTCACCTACTTGACCATACTGAATTTGGAATTGAGCCCCACCTCTCTCCCCCACTGTGAAATCCCATTGCAGTGGTCCCTATAACTGTCTCCATGGGCCAGAATAAAGTCTGCCTTCTATCTTTAAAAAGTGTTGTTGAATATTTTTCTTCTTTAAGAGTGGACCCCGAGCCCTGCTGCTGGCTCAGTGGTTGAGCGTGGACCTATGAACCAGGAGGTCACGGTTGGATTCCATGCATGATCCCCAGTAGGGGGCATGCAGGAGGCAGCTGATCAATGATTCTCTCTCATCATTGATGTTTCTATCTCTCTCTCTCCCTGTCCCTTCCTCTCTGAAATCAATAAAAAACCATATATATATTTTTTAAAAGAGTAGTTCTCGAGCCATGATTTTTTTTTCTTTATGAAATTTTTAAACTAAACCCGAGTTTACTCCTTATCAGGACTAGATCGGGAACTTGATTAATTTGAATCACAACCACTTTGGATATATTTTGATTGGTTTTTATATTATTTTTTGGCCCCAGGTAAATTTGTTTAAAAAATTCACTGAATTTTCATAACAGGTAATTCCCCCAAATTATATAAAGAGCTGTCAGATCCTTTTTCAAAACCTTTTACAAATCCTAAACCAGATTGTATGGATAATTTATAAATGAAATACCTTTTCTTGAAATGGGATACAAGAATTGTATGCTGTTCATTAATCTGAATCCCAGGTGCTGGGAACAAGGAGATACTCAAAAGGCTGTAACTGGCACACTCAATTCTCAAGTGCAATTTGGGAAATATAATTTAATCTCTAATGCCCATATGCCTCCACACACGTTAACACCGTTTCCTTACAATAATAGTGAAGTCATCTTTACAGTGGGAGTTCGAAGTGCTTGATTTTTCTAGAACAA